GCTTTGGGAGGAACGGTTGGTGAAAGGGCTGGAGGGAGGCAGCATGTCTGGCCTTGCAGTAATAGGCCTTGGGTTACTGCTGGTAATCCTGTCTTCCTCTTGTGAGATTAGAGGAGGTCAGAACATGTGGCCTCCCTGCAGTTTTTGGAGTGCCCAGCTCTGAGTTAAGCAGGTGTACTCCTGCCCAGGGCAGGAGCTCTAGGAGGGTGGCTGAGCTAGCTCATCTTGTCCACGCTGGCTGTGCCTTCAATCCAACTTCCTGGGTCTGACCACCCTGAGATGAAGATACTTCCCTGGGAGGTAAGGGGAGGGAGCAGGGTGCCCGCCTTTCACTTACAGTCTTGAGAGTACTGGAGCAACTTTCCAGCAATGGAGCCCTGGGTTTCAGAATAGGTAGGAGCAGGGAGGATGGAAGGAGTGAGGCCAGCTGGCTGGACGCCTGGCCTCCTTTCCTGGTCTCTGTCTTATTTTCAGACATCAGAGTGCCAAGAGCTTATCCAAACAAAGCTGCTGCCAGAGAAGAGACCAGCAGGAAGCCCTCTGCCCGTTCCCCTCTGACTCCTGTTTCAGAAGCATGCCCCCTGGAAGCACAGTCTGAATTTGGAGGGAGAGGGACCCACACCCCAAGGCCCCGCACCTCTCATCCTTCTCCACGCTGGAGGGCAGGACACGGCTGCCCAGTGCGCCAGGCTGGAAAGGGGACTTGGGCGTCTTGGGCTGGGGGGCCCGGGTGGGGGTCTCACCAGGACTGTCCACCTCTTGCCACTTGTGCAGCTGAGCCTGGGGAGAGAGGAGAGCCGAGTCTGTAAACACCGTTTGTCTGGGGACGGGTCTGTCCAGTGTACTGTCACTATGGGGGGAAGGGGAGGGCTCCTGGAAGGCAACAGAGTCTGAAGGGACCCAGGCAAAAACTGGGAGCTGGGGGGGTGGGGAGATATTGGGTGACCTCAAGGGCTAAGAAAAACCAGAGGCCAGGCCTGCATGCCAAGCCACTTTCCTGGACTCAGTTTTGGAGGGTGTGATGGTTAATTTTATGTGTCACTCATCTAGGGGTACGGTGTCCAGTTATTTGGCCAAGATTTAGTCCAGACATGGTTATGAAGGAGTTTCTTGTCACCCATTGACCTTAAGTGAAGCAGATGACCCTGCGTAATGGGAGTGGGCTCAGCCAATTGGGTGAAGGGCTTAAGGACAAAACCAAAGGGAATTTCTCTAGGGTGTATTCTGCCTCCAGACACACACACACTCTGTCTCTCTCTCTGTCTCTTTCTCTCTATATATAAAAGGAGCCCTAGTTGTGCAGTGGTTAAAGTGCTCACTCATAACCAAAAGGTTGGTGGTTCAACCCACCCACTGCTCCAGAGTTGAAAGGATGCAGTCTGGTTCCATAAGATTTATACCCTTGGAAACTCTATGGGGCACTTCTACTGTCCTACAGGGTCCCTAAGAGTTCGAATCAACCTGATGACAGTGGGTTTAGATTAGCTTGGATGGCACCTGACTGCTAACCAGAAGGCTGGTGGTTCAAACCCACCAGCCACTCCTCAGAAGGAAGGATGGGCAATCTACTTCTGTAGTGATACCGCATCAGAAACCCAAGGAGGGGTCGCTGTGAGTCAGGTCCGACTCCACGGCACACAACAACAACATTATATACACGGCACTGGTGGCTCAGTGGTAGAATTCTCACCTTCCATGCAGAAGACCCAGGTTCAAATCCTGGCCCATGCACCTCGCGCGTAACAAAGGTGTGCATGCTGCTATGGTGTTGAACAGATTTTAGTGGCGCTTCCAGACAAGACACTAGGATGAAAGGCCTGGTGATCTACTTCCAAAACCTAGCGACTTATGTATTACAACAGACAACCAATCAGGGTATGGGACAGGACCAAGCAGCGTTGTGTCCCATTGTCATGCATGGGGCCATCATGAGTTGGGACCCGTGTCAGCTAACTAGCTGTCAGCCTATCAGCCAGTGGTTCAGTACCTTGAGCACGGCTGGATCCACACCCGGAAACGCAGGCATCCTCTGGGGATGGCTGATGGGCGTCCTCTCAGCCTTGGGCAGCTTCTCCTCCTCATCTGAATCTTCCCTCCTGGGAGATTTCTCTTCTGTTGTGAAGACAAGGGCACTGACGTCACGGACAGCTGCCATCTATTAAGGATCTCTGACGTGCCTGAATCTGTGCTCACATGTAACCCTCACAACAGCCCTGAACAAAAGCTACTACCGTCCCAACTTACAGATGCGGATGGACCTGGGCCTGTTTCCAAGCTCTCTGCACTTCACAACGCCACCTCGTACCAGAGCTACTGACTTGCTACAGGACACGGTTTTCTCCTGGGCTGGGCACAGGCAGACCCACCTCCTGGGCTCC